CATTTTTAATCCAAGAAATGTTAACAGAGAGGGGATTTCAATAGGGGGGAGATTTTCTGACCGTAGCATCTGATAAGGATATTTATTACCTTTTCCTCAAAATTCCAGCACATTTTCCTTGCACATGGGTTTGTCGTACATTTTAACCTGAAGACATCTAACATAGGAGGCAAAATGCAGTTTGAATAACTTTACCACTTTGCCTATGTCCACTTTAACTCAGATATTATTCTACAACCTACTAACATGCTTATGCATGTTTGTGTGTGTGTGTGTGGGGGGGGTGTCTTACCTTTGTGGATAAAAGCCTTATTTAAATATAATGAGCTGACCAACATATACACAGATATGCTCTGCTTTTCAAAGGATTGATATTTCCATCACATTACCTTTACAAATGACTGACATAAAACACTTCTCTGGCTTGCCAAAATGGTGCAAATTGAAGAACCATTTAACTATTGATTTCTCTGAAAACTTTCCTGAACATTTCCAAACCTAATAGTAAAGCTGCTTCTTATGTCTGTCTACTTCCATGTCAAAGGCCAATGTTTGTCATCTGTAATGACTGATTTGGAATACTTCAGATGTGACATAATATTTAGGAACTAAAAACATCCTGCAAGCCTGCTCGAAACCTATTCACTTTCAAAATTATATCATCACAATTTTGTCAAACACACTGAAAATCTCATGCAAAGTTATTTTTGAGGGAATTCGAAATACAGAAATGAAATCTGCATTGAAAGGTAATCTTCAGCCAAGTGCAGGTTGCTGTGCAAAACTGGGTCAAGACTAAACAATTGTTTAATAAGCAACTGGACTCAAATTTGGCTAAATCTTAACACTAACCACTGACACCTGTGCAGCTTAAGCAACTGAAAAAGACAATGTAACAACAAAAACAAATTTAAGATTAAATAAGAGTTAATAGATATGTTATTTTCTACTGTATTCAGGAATTCCACTATTTTACTTAGCATAGAACATTTAAGCAACTTGAGTAGTAATTCTTGTACAAAAATTAAACAAGATGAATAATGGTCCAAATACTAAGTTGAATAACAATAGAACATATATATATATATATATATATATATATATATATATATATATATATATATATATATATATATAGTGTGTGTATGTATGAAAAATTGTGCATACATATAAATATATTACTTCCACGGATGTTATAAATACAGTACTTAATGTTATGAGACAGCTATAAGTATATATAAGGGAATTTACATAATATCCACTGTTGATAGCACAACCGAGTTTCATGCGGTTACTGCAATCTTCAGGCACAAATATAATCTTATATATATATATATGCATGCACACACAAATATAAATATTATGTTTGCCAGAAATTTTCTTCATTGATAGAACAAAAATGTGAACAGGTATTTTGGAAAAATATATAGCACTAATAGGAACTTTTTTTTTAAAATCAATTCATCCTAAGCGAGGTGATAATGCTACTAAGACACAAGGGGCTACTGAGACTGAAAGAGAATGAAAAGACTTTAGAAGGAAATGGAAACCCAATCTTAAACAGGGAACAAGGGATAAACTTCTACTATTCAAAAGCCTAAGGAGGAGTATGAACTGGAAAAGAGACAAACCTATCTACTCCTCTTGAAGAGAAAAAAAAAATTAATAATTAAAATTTAAAAGTTTAGATATAAGCCATAAAAAATGAATGAATCATAAAACAAAAAAAAAAATAATGATAACTTCTCAGAAATTCAGATAGAAATTGGTTAGTTCTTCTGAGTTAATTTCTTCTTGACATGCCACTTGGGTTCTTTTCATTGAACTTTTGGAGTTTACTGCTCAACTGAGGGATACTTGATGTATTTAATAGTATTCTTTGAATTTTAAACAAAACCCTTTATTCACTCCCCAGAGATAGACAGTTCTCATTCTTCTAGGGGAGATAACTCATATTAGTAAATTTGTTTTTGAGGTGTCACTTCTGCTGATTCCACTGAACAAGTCTATGGAGTTTACTGTTTGATTCAGGGATTGACCTCAGCCACCAGGCCAACTGCTTGCACTTTACTAATAATACTTTTACTGATAAACCTGTTAAGTTGGTGAATAGTTTGAATACTATGTTACCTCATTTCCTAGCAAAACTAATGCTGTCTGAATTTCTGAGATGAGGAATTATTATTTACTTCAACAAAAGAAAAGAAAGAAAAAGAGTGAAGCCTCAGTGAGTACAGTCAAGTGTGACAAGCAGCAGTTGCAGCAGCACTCATCAACAGGTAGGTTAGGTTTAAGTCTCCAAGTTCCCCACTCAGAATTGTCCCATGGGACAATAGTGGATTAAAGCATTGATTTGTGAATTTGGTGACATAGTAATTGTGAGTTCAATCCCTGGCCCTGTGTAACTGAACTCCGTGGAAAACTGGGCAAGCAATCACTGAACAGAACTAGAAGAGATATCTCTGGACATGAGCAGTGGAACAAAAACAATCTATTCCTGTACATTAAATAAAGTGTTTTCAAAATTCTCTGAAGGCTACTTGAATTGATAAGCATTTGATGAAGGTTGGATGGCATAACAGCCAAAAGATTGGGATAGTAACAACAAAGATGAGGAAAATATTCTACATGCAAATAAAACTAATTATATTACAGTGGGGGATATTTAAAAACAATAACCACAAAAAAAAACATACTCAATCAGTATGGACCTGATGACACAATATTTCACAAAAAAAAATCTGATACAGCGATAAAGGAACCAATTTTTATTTTTGTTTTGTTGAGTTGCTTAAACCACACAGACATGAATGAAGTTAAAATTTTTCACAAATTTGAGAGTAGTTTGCTTCACACAGCAACCTTGAGTTGACTGAAAAATGTTTAACTTTTAATGCCTAATAAATGATGCCAAAATTGGGACACTGCAATGTTGTCAACAATGGAATTTCAGGTTTCATCATTGTGAATATGGCAGTCACACAAGACACAGGTTTACTCAAAAGCATTTCCCTGCCGACCGAGGTAATCCCACAAATGAATATTTCAACACGAACAAGTTGCATCAAATTCTCAAGTCAAAATGGTTGGATACGTCCTGGACAGACCTTGTAGATTATTGTATAGCTTTCAAAGCAGGTCTCTGAAAATATACACTTTGTTCAGTAAACAATTGTTATATTCTGATTTTTGTCTAGTGTGTGTGCATGTGTGTGTGAGAGAGAGAGATGAGAACAGACTTACAGAGATTTTGGTTGGAATGGCTGATTTTCTGACTTTTCTTTCCCCGTTTCTGGTTAGGATCAACTTCAAGACTGCTTCAGAAAGCAGAATTAAGAGAGATAATACAAAAGAGGTGGGAGGGAGTCGGGTAAAGATGGAGAGAAAACAAAGATGCTCAATGAAAAAAAAGAAAAGTGAAAAAAACAAAAAAAAAAAGGAAAGGAAGCAAATGTTGAAAGTGAAACAAAAGAAAGTAAAAATATAAAGAAAGAGAGAAAATAGTAAAAGAGAGCTGAAATCGACCTCATGGTTGATATCGTTGTGTACTTTCCCATGAATACTAATGGTAGATGCTCAAACCCAGGTAAAATGCTAGGTCTTCACTGCAATATTATTTTACAGACTAATATTTCTCTGTTTAAAACTAAGTAAGCCTTAAAAAATATCAAAATCAATATAAAAATAGAAATTAATCAAAGAAAAAAGAAGAGGAAAAGACGAAAAAAGCAAAGGAAAATGAGGGGGGAGAAGAAAAAAAGAAAGTAGATGAGGAAAAGAGGAAGAAAGGAGAAAAAAGTGCAACATACAGGAAAACTGAGAAAGAGAGAATAAAAAAGAGAGAGAATAAAAAAGAGAGAGAATAAAAAAGAGAGAGAATAAAAAAGAGAGAGAATAAAAAAGAGAGAGAATAAAAAAGAGAGAGAATAAAAAAGAGAGAGAATAAAAAAGAGAGAGAATAAAAAAGAGAGAATAAAAAAGAGAGAGAATAAAAAAGAGAGAGAATAAAAAAGAGAGAGAATAAAAAAGAAGAGAGAATAAAAAAAAGGAAGAGAGAATAAAAAAAAGGAAGAGAGAATAAAAAAAAGGAAGAGAGAATAAAAAAAGGAAGAAGAGAGAATAAAAAAAAGGGAAGAGAGAATAATAAAAAAAGGGAAGAGAGAATAATAAAAAAAAGAAGAGAGAATAATAAAAAAAAGAAGAGAGAATAATAAAAAAAAGAAGAGAGAATAATAAAAAAAGGGAAGAGAGAATAATAAAAAAAAAGGAAAGAGAATAAAAAATAAAGAAAGAAAAAGAGAACAGAAAGAACAAAAGAAAGATGAATATCAATTACAGCAAGAGTAAAAGAATTTTTTTTTTCACCAGGTGAAGTTATTTTGGATGTTTATTATTCCTTTGCCTCTGCTATTTGCAGTCTCCACTTTTCTCGTGGGTGGTGGATAAGAGAAGGAATGGAGAAGCAATATTAGAACCAAAAAGAAAAAGGAAAATAAAAAAAATAAGATTAAAAATTATCCAAAATGGAATCCTGATAAAATGAACCATTGGCTAGCAAGCAAGCAAGCAAGACAGACAGGCAGACAAGGGGTAGTGGGGAAAAATGGTCTGGGGTTTGCTTCTAGGAAAGTAGACAAGCAAGAGATTTTTAGCCAACTGTTTATTAAGCTTGCCAAGTGAATGATGAAAACCGAGGAAGGGAAAAAGATTGATGTCCACCCCATAACAAATTTGAAAATGGCTGTAGCTTACCTGGGCACATATCATAAACACGTCCTTTGAAAAAGTTGACTTCAATGAAAATTAATTCAAAATAATAAATGAAATTCACCCCCACCTTCAAAATCTAATCAAAATGTGAAATTTAAAGCAAAGAAAAAAAGAAAAGCACTTTTTAAAAACTCTCAATGCTAGCTATTGTTGTATAGACGCACAAACTCTGTCTTGCTACAATGGCTGTCAGTGTACAGAAATAAATCTCTTTCTCCTGTTAAAAATAGTTATCCCTGCACAGGCACTCACAGTCTCTCTACACTGGCTATCCCTGCTCAGGCACTCACTGTCTCTCTACACTGGCTATCCCTGCTCAGGCACTCACTGTCTCCCTCTCACACTGGCTATCCCTGCTCAGGCACTCACTGTCTCTCTACACTGGCTATCCCTGCTCAGGCACTCACTGTCTCTCTACACTGGCTATCCCTGCTCAGGCACTCACTGTCTCTCTACACTGGCTATCCCTGCTCAGGCACTCACTGTCTCTCTACACTGGCTATCCCTGCACAGGCACTCACTGTCTCTCTACACTGGCTATCCCTGCACAGGCACTCACTGTCTCTCTACACTGGCTATCCCTGCACAGGCACTCACTGTCTCTCTACACTGGCTATCCCTGCACAGGCACTGTCTCACTGTCCCTCACAGGCACTCACTGCTACTGGCTATCCCTGCACAGGCACTCACTGTCTCTCTACACTGGCTATCCCTGCACAGGCACTCACTGTCTTTCTACACTGGTTTGCAGTTAACTGACACCTTACACTGCATCCTTAAAAGATAATCTATTCGGACTCAAATCAAACTAGTATACCATTTTTATTATGTAGAATTTCAGCATATCACCACCTACTAGAAATAAATTCCTAAGTTTTACTTAAATGATCTCAAAACACATCAAGGATGCTGGCAAAATGGACTTGCAAAAGTTGGAAAGTGCTTCCTTTCAGTGAAGATGTGAATGTTCTCACCTTATAAGAAAGAAAAAAAACTTGTACCAATGTACAATATGTCAAATAACTTTTAGTACAGAAAAAGTTATAGTTTATTATTAGTTATTATTTTTATCTCATTGTGTCTGATAAGATCTACAGTAAAAACAAATCATCTCTCCATGACATAATTTATCATAGTATTTTGTTAGAATTGTACTGTTATTATTAATCTCTTATTGTGTCTAATAAGATCTATGGCAAGAATGAATCTTCTGTCACATAACTTTTATTCTAGTGCATTCTCATAATTAGGTACCTAAAAAAATGGACATACATAATGAAAAAAAATGCCCTTAACAAAAACAAAGTTTTATTGTCAAAATCTTTGTTATTATTAGGTGGAAAGACCAAATGATTTTTGATTATTAAATTGTTTTTTTCAATCCTTTTTAGAACCTTAAAAATTTGGGTTAAAACTTTTTTTCTTACATCAGTGGGTGACCATGAATTAGTATGGGAAACTAACTTCTTTTTGTGGTGAAAAACATTGATTTGGTACTTACAAAAATCAAATTGTTAGATTTCAATAAACTTTCAGGACTTGTTCACAAATGAATGAAATTATTTTTGAAAGGTTTCATTTTTATAAAATCTTGATAAAATATATATTTTTTAATCTGTCTTAACCACTCCCTCGCTTTATTTAATTTCATGAAATTTCAAGAAATTGTAGCATTTATGTTTATAAACACAAATCTTTGTAGAATTGAAATCCATTTTTTTTCTTTTTAAAAGCAAGACCCACATTTACAAATCGGCTCTGAACTTTAAAAAAAAACAATAAAAGCAAGACATTAATTCAAAAAGCTTTTAATTGCTTTAATAAATATGTTGTGGACACTATTGTCTTAAAAAAATTTGTTTTTGATGAAATTTTACAAGAATTTTCATTTTTAAAAAATTTTAATTAGAATAATTTATAAACTTTTTAATCTTTTCAAATTCAGTATTAATTTGTGGAGGTTAGGAGATATTGTTATTTAACAAAATCTACATTTACTAATCATAGGCTTGAAAATTTTGCTACTATTTAACAAACCTAGTATCTTAAAAAGAATTTTGCATTTGTTTTGTATGTATAAACATGCCAATTTTTTGTAAACCTGGACCTCTACAAATGATATTATTGGTAATTTCCTAACATTTCCTCAACAAGTGTCTTAATAAGTAAGACTATAAAGCCAAAGTACCTAAAATTCAATAAATATTAGATTACCGAGTAGTTGACAAATATAATGCAAGTCCCTTCTCTATAATTTTTTAAGTAATTGTTATAGGTAAGTCTGCCTTAGATAAAATTTACAAATATAGGCCTATTGAGAAAGTTGTCAAGATGCCAATTCAGTGTTAAATAAAATGCGTTTTGGTGATATTTTAAACTAACTAATATTTGTTTCAAATCAGATTAATTAAACTTTAAATCAGCTAATATTCCTCAAATTAAGTTTCAGAAAAACATATCTTATTTTTTAAAGATTTTTTAATAAAGAGAATCATGTGTTTACATATTCACTAATATGGCTGTTTTTTAGTAATTAAAAAAAAAATCCCAATCAATTTAAATTCAGTTTGAAATGCAGCAAAGTATTTTGCTTATTGGAAATATTAGATTTAGTCTATTACCTTGATATTAAAACTAAAATAAAAACTTCAAGAAAGATTTTTAATTTTTAAAAAATCATTTTAAAGTTTAGGTTTGGTCGATTTTGTTTAGCGGCATATCAACACCTCTATGAGTTATTTAATACCCAAATCTAAAGTGTATGCCTTCCATTACAGACATTTTGTACATAATTTTATACTTTCAGGATAACTTTCATATATATATATATATATATATATATATATATATATATATATATATATATATATATACATACACACAATATTCATGTTATGTTGTAGATGTTATATATTTTGGTATAAAACCTATGTCTTTAAGGTAGGACATTATGTTGATGGTTTCAGTATTTCCAAATAGTTTTCTTGTGTTGATTTCCTTATAACATTTATGTCTTACAGGTGCAAAGTAAATACATTCAATTAAAAATGTGTTTCACTGTGTGTGTGCAACTTAGGTTGTCGTACATGTTGGTTGGTCTTCATTCTTCAACAAGTGTAAATGGATAAGGTATGTGCGGCCTAAGTAGAGACTTGGACTACGTTTGAAATCCCAGTTCAACTTATTTTTATGAGTTGTCCTTGGTTTTTTAAAAAAATATAGCCCAATTGATTTGTTTTACAGCTTAATACCATATAAGTTATTTAAAGTTATAGGTTTAGACTGGTTATTTTCAACCTTGGTTGGCAACCAGTCTAAGAGAAGAACAATTCAAAACCAGTTGGGCATGGACCTATCAAATCCATCCTGTAAAAACCTACTTGCTATGAAAGCTACAGCATTAATGCTTAACATGTATCTGAAAGCCACAGCATTAATGCTTAACATGTTGTATCTGAGGCCTTATGCACCATAGATGGGTTTATAGGGAGAATGAGAGAATAGGGTTTAAGATAATCCCTGGGAGCTAATGTACATAAAATATTTAGACAAGTAACTTAGTTTTTGTTCTGAAATTTGGTATGTACTGAATCTGATAATCTTACAAGTTTACACTATTCTTAATACAAGTTCCAGAAGTCACTCACAGTACAGAATCACTGAATAGGGTTGTTTTATGGATGTAAGAATTGTAGATTATGTGTGGTACAGATAACGAACTTGAAGAGGTTAAGATTGTAGTAGTCTTCTTGTGATGTTGTTCCACAAAGCAGTGGCTCTTTGGAAGAAGCTACCTGAATTGAACTTCTTCCTTGCTAATGAAATACAAAAGGAATGAAGATGGTTCAGTCCTGTGTATGTGGTATGGCAGAATGAGGGAATGTAGATCCTTTGAAAATTTTCCATTGAAATATTGATAGGTTTGCAATGTTGCATCTGTGGGAAATGGCTTGTAGAATGAGAAATAATCCATTGATAACATTTTTGAACTGTGTTGATGATGGAAAGAGATGGATTGATCAGCTCTAGACCAGATATGACAGCAATATGCCATTTTTGGCAGGGCCAGTGAATGGTTCTTGTCCCCACTCTCACAAATCCATGATACGGGACCCCCACTCTACTACATAGCAATTTTCATAAGGTAGTATTTATATAAAATAAAAAATTTATTGTAACCTAATTATGTACAATAATGGATCATATAGGTGAACACCATCTTAAATAAACCAACAATCATTTGTGTCAATTTTTAACATCAACTTCAGATTTTCATGAAAGAGTTGAAGGATTTTGACACGTTCAGCATTCTGGATAAAAAAAATAGTGAATTTTACATCATGCTTTTTTATGATTTAGCAAAAGATGAAAAAAAAAAAAAAAAAAAATGCAAAAATTTTCCATCATTTAATAGTCAGTTGTGCTTAGTTTCATTTCTAACATATATATAGGCAGAAAAAAGTAAATGTTGACAAGATAATGAGGGTCACAAAGCACTGCCCATGGCACCCCAATCAGGTTCCCCCCAGTTTGGGCTGAGAGTAGTATGCGCCGGGCCTTGGTTTGATGTATAGGAGAGACAGAAGATGTTAAGATAAAAGGGGAAGTTATCTTCACAATTCTTGTTAAAACAATGTTTTCTTTAGTGTTACTTTCATAAGACAGGCAAGAGACAACACTGATAATTCTAAACCTTATAATGGACTAGCAAGGTTACCCAGTAAGGCTTGGTGTTAGATTGATTAATCTATTAAAGACTTGCATGTTTGCGCATATACTTGTTGCATGGTTGATTGTATTTTTTTTATTCTGTTAATGTGAATTTAGCTACCTACCACACGGGGTGGGGGATGTAAAGAAAAAGAAAAATTACACAAGCGGCCCTTTTCCACATTCCTTCCATTCTTGCTTGCGGGTGGGGGGTAAGAAGAGAAAACTGCAGTAAAGACAGCACTGAAATTTGAAAAGTGCTATTTTCATCAAAGAGAATGAAAGAAAAAAAAAATGAAGTGGTTGTTGGAATGAAGGAAGAATGCAGGACAGGACAAGAAAGCCAGCGAGAGGTCGTGGAGGAGGAAGAAAGGGAAAGGAAAACTTTGTTAACCTTAAGGGGTGGATAAAGGTAAGGAGAAAGTACCCATGGAAATGTTTTGGCCTGTATAGCACCTTCATTTTTACTAGCCTCTCCTCACCACCCATCCAGGTGGTGGACAGTCAAGTGGAAATATCCATCATTCTGGCAGAACAAAGCTGGTTATTAGTTATAGAGAGTAAAAGTGAAACTAAACAAAAGGAAAAGGAGTAGCAGTGGGAGGAGTGAGTGATAAACAGAAATGCAAAATGGATGTTTCTAAAAATATTTAAAAAAAAAAAAAAAAAGAAGAAAAATCAAATGTAACAACGGGGAGAGAAAAAGGGTAAAATGGAAAATTATACCGAGAGAGGTAGAATGTGAAAAAGCGTGGAGAGAGAAAAGGGATTGAAAGAATGTATATAGAGGCAGAGAGAGAGAGAGAGGGTGAAAGAATGGCTGAAGAGGGATAGCAAGAGGTGAAGAATAAACGGAGAGAGGGTGAAAGAATAGATGGAGTTGCTGTAACAGAAAGAAAAAAAGAAAGGAAAAAAGAAAAAAAAAAAAAAAAAAAAAAAAAAAAAAAAAAAAAAAAAGGAAAAAGAAAAAAAAAAAAAAAAAAAAAGGAAAAAAAAAGAAAAGGAAAAAAAAAAAGAAAGGAAAAAAAAAAAAAAGGAAAAAAAAAAAA